ACATGTATAGCTAAGAAAAGGAAACGATCCTTAAACAAAAGGAAAGATGCTCATTTTTACTAATAAAATTAAAGGAGTGCTAATTTGAAAGCCAAGAGATATTTCACAGCAATCACTTTGCTCAAAAATTTTTAAGTCTGGGGCTGGGGTGCTCAGTGGTTAAGGGCACGTGCTGTTCTTACAGAGGACTCTGTTTTGATTCCCAGCACCCACATGGTTGCTAACAACCATCTATAATTCCAGTTCCAGGGAATTCGACACCCTCTTCTGACCTCCACGGGCAGTGTATGACCCAGGTGCACTTATATACATGCAGGCAATATACTCATACACATAAAATAAAAATAATAAATAAAATATTAAAACATGTTTAAGTCTGACAATGTTTGGAATATAAAGAAACAATAAAACACATAAACTTATGATGAAACTATAAATGGATACAACCATGTGGGGAGAAATGTGGCAATATCCAATAAATTTGAGGCTAAATATGGCTTCTAGTCCAGAAGTTCCATTCATACATATGCAACCAAGAAAAATTCTTACATGAATTGCACAAAGATCCTTATGTAAAGATGTTTGCTACATCACTGTTTCTAAGGGGGAAATGTAATTCAAAAGTTCACCAGTACAGAAATGCTTAATAAATTGTGATGTATAAAGGGAAGTTATGTAAATAGAAGTTACAGTGAATGAACCGAAGCTAATGTACTCATATTGCTATATCTAAAGTACAGTGTTGAAACAAAAAAGCAATTGGCAGCATAAATCGGTATCACGTCATTCCTGAAAACTTTGAATCATGAAACAACACTCTACATTGTCCTAGATACTCATGAAGCAAATGAACCAAACACAGACAGGACATGGACACACCGACTTTGGGATGGTAGTTACACTAGGGAGAAAGAGAAGGAGACAGGAAGAAGTGAGCCTCAAAAGGACTGCTGTTTCTTATTTGTCTGTTTAAAAAATTATAGGGGGCATGAAGAAATGGTCACATTCTTCAAAGTCCAGATGGTGGGAATGTGAAGGAAGAGGTCAGGATAGGCTGGGTTTCTTGCCTGTTCCTGAGCTCTGCATCATGACTGTCACACCACATGGAGGCAGTGATCACCCCTTCTACAAACATGGGCTCAAGTAGATGGCCCCAAGCTGGTTGACCTTCCCTGCTTTTGTTCATGTCTCTGGAGGCCAAGGGGTGATACAAACACTATGTTATAAAGTCCAAAGATTTAACTAAGTTTCAGGCCTGACACTGAAATTTCCTGTCACCTTAGGCATGATATTATACACCCAGAGTCTATTTTCCTCATCAGTCTAATGGGTATAACAATAACACACCTCTGAATAGTTGTGATAAGCAAATGAGTATGCAAAATTCTTTGCAAGTGTAACGTGCTGTGCAGATGGTCACTATTATTAATGACCCGAATTTTGCTGCAAAGGAAGCCTTGGGTCAGATTTACATTTCTGGCCAACGGTGACTCATACAACTTCCCTCACCAGAGCACCTGGTTGACAAAATAGGCCTAGGCATCATCCTGTGGTCCAATTGCTTGAAGAATGTATTGATTCTTCTTTGTGAAAATGAGTCTTGGATCAAGGATTAAGCACTACTACAGAGTCCCTGAGAGAGGATAAGGGAGAAGGTCTGATTTTCATGTGTGTGGCTCAGCTGAGAAGATTCTCCAGGCCTAACCAAGAGCCTGGGATCTGCATTCCACCCACTACCAGAGCTGGGAGAGCATTGTCAGGAGACATCAGCTCTTCCCTTGAGTTTGCAGATCAAGAAACTAGGATCAGGAGAAGCAAAATGGTGAGAACAATGACTCTTCTCAAACAGCATTAGACTGAGGGTTTATCCAAGAGTCTTTTATTAATTCAGGGTAACCAGGGCAAGCCTTTTTCTGATAAGTGCTTTGGTTTCTATATGTGCAAAGTTAGGGGATTAAACCTGACTTCCATGGCTATTTTCAATTCCTATTATCTGAAGAACACCCAGTTCTACTAACTATGAAATGCAGTAAATTTCTTTCCCAAACTGATCTTCTCCATGCAGACACTGACTTTGGAGTTAGGCTTCTCTGGAGTTACTTTCTTGCCTCCCCACATATGTCTTGGTGTGTATTTGCCTGCTAAAAGATAGTTATTGGTGTCTTGCTGTTGGAGCTCTAGTGCTCTTGTCTGCTTTTAACTACTAAGCATTCCTAACTTCTGCCTACCCATCTGCATTACCTGCTCTGGGGTATGACCAAAAAACTTTCCAGGGGCTCAAAGAACAAAGTACATAACTCAGGAAACCAATAGGGCACTTGAATTCAGCCCCTGAAAAGGCACTCCCAAAGGATGGAACTCATGGCAGAGATCACAGGAAGCTACACAGCCAGATGCAAGGGCCAGCCACAGTGGCATCAGGCTCTGAACTGGGGCAAACTTTGCAGCATCTCTCCTGCCATTCTACCTGAAGCCTGGATTCTGGGGCTGCCATATGCCTTCCCCATAGTTACTAACTTGTTCTTCCAATAACTCCCAGGAGCTGAGAAAAGACAAATGCCTCTATCCATAATAAGAGGTGGTCATTATACCTGCAAGATTCTTCTTAGAGTACAAAGCACTCTCAGACCCATTAGCTCATTTGATTTTTATGAAGAACTAAGTGGTAGCTCAGGAAAGGATTAATCTCTCATGCTATAGATACAGAAGTTCCTCTGAAGCCAGAAGGGTGGAAGGACTTAGGGTTAAATATTCTGATTCTAATTCCAGTTCTTTCCTCATGGTACAACTAAAGTATAGTCATCTTATGATAATATTTATCCTAATGTTTAAGTCAGAGGGGCAGTATTTAAATCACTGTCAAGTATATAGGCGTTAATCTGTACACCTTTGGTCTTTAATAAACTGTTTAGGAGGAGAAACAATTTCAGAAACCAAAACCTCATTTATATTGCTGTTCATCATGTCTTCTTCCTAGACTCCAGTTCTTTGGT